AGATAGAGAGAGAGATTGAGGGAGAGAGAGACTAAGAATGAGAGAGTGAACGACTCGAGAGAGAGAAAGAGGGACTTAGAGAGAGAGAGATAGACTGAGAGATAGAAATGGAGAGGTTGGCTGAACTAAGGCAAATAATCACGAAATAGTGCTCCATCCGTCGGCACCAATTAGCAGACTCTGTGGCCTCCACTATGCTATCCATGCTCGGCCGACTTCGGTCTGGTAGGTGATTGCCACTTAGTGACCGCTATCGCCCATACGAAGCTTCTTTTCTTCGGGAAGCCAATGGAACGGTGTGCGTACGTTCCTCAGTCAATCAATACCCCATCTGCAGCAACAGACAGACAATGGCAGGTGGCGAGGCACTGATGAACTCCGGTTCAAGGAAGTGCTTATGACCCATCTGGTAGACCACAGTGGTGGACCAGCTGCGTCAGTTCTGTCTGCGTTCTGGGCTGAAGTAGTTCGAACACGCCCATAATGGTGGGACAAAATGAGAAGGAATTACAGGGGGTGAGCTCGACTTCTCATCGCTCTTGGTCATTTCGGAATATAAATATGTCCAGATTCTTCTTAAAATTTTGTATAGATGGTGACATCGCAACATCTGCGGGAAGCTCATTCCATGGTTTGACCACCCGAACCGAGAAGGAGAACTTCCGCACATCCAGCCGTGCCTGCTGAGTGCGCAGTTTTAACGGGTGACCGCGGAGGTTGGTCGTGGTAGCAAATTCAAAAATGTCCTCGAAGGCCAGACTGCAATCCAACCCCTTTATAATGCGGTAGGCTTGCAAGAGATGTCCGCGAAGTTGCCTGTACCTCAAAGGAAAGAGGTTCAGATTTACTGGGTGGGTTGCATTAGGAAAGGAGATTTGACCCCTAACCATCTTCGTGGCTCTCCTCTGGACACTTTCGAGGCAGTTTTGATCCTCAACAGCCCACGGCCTCCAAGCTTGTATGCCGTACTCTAAATGCGGCCGGTCGAATGTTCCGAATGTCTTAGAGAAAGCTTCTTTGTCAAAGTCCATAAACGCACGCTTGATGGCGTACAGTACGGACATTACGCTTTTGCCACTCTCGAACAGTGGGCGGATGGCTTTAGGGAACTCGTCGTCAGCACACCGAGGTCCCTTTGGGCTTCGACCTCTTGTAGGGCTGCACCGCCCAGAAAGTAGTCTCTTGTACTGTCGGATCTGGCTGTGTTGCCTAGGCGAAGTATGCTACATTTGGCAACGTTGAACCGCAGGAGCCAACGGTTTGACCACTCCTCCAACCGATTCAGGTTCATCTGCAGTCTGTCTTCATCGGCAGGACTTCGAATTACACTCCATATCTTCATGTCATCCGCAAACATTGCTACTTCACAGTCTAAATCTCTTGCGGCATCGTCCACGTAGATAAGGAACAAAATGGGTCCCAGTACTGAACCCTGAGGGACACCACTATCGACCATAGCCGGATCTGATTTTCCCCGACCGATGCACACAACCTGGTGTCGACCAACAAGGAAGTTTTCGATCCATTTAAGGAAGTTGCCACCGATCCCTATTTTTTCAGCTAATGTAAGAGTCTTTGAAGTGGCACAGTGTCGAACGCCTTCTGGAAGTCGATGAAGGCTATGTGGACCGCGTGCCTGTCGTCGAGAGTTCGGGTCCAGCTCTGGAGAGATTGCAGCAGGTTTGTCGTGCAGGATCTTCCTTTTCGGAATCCATGTTGGCATTTCGATAACAGGCCGTGAACTTCCAGTAATTGCATCAGTTCAGTCTTTATGATCCTCTCCATAACTTTGCAGAGAATACATGTCAAGCTTATGGGCCTGTAATCTGTCGTCGCTGCCCTGTTACCTCCTTTGGGTAGCGGAGTAATATGCGCCAGCTTCCAATCGATAGGAAGTGTTCCAGTGTCAAATGGCGTTTGAAAGAGCATCGACAAAGGCACAGAGAGCTCACTGGCAAGTTCCTTCAGAAGCTTGGATGGAATCTCGTCTGGTCCTGGCGACTTCGATTCGTTCAAGGCCTCTTATTCTCTTCGGACAATGCCTTCTGAGAAGGGTAAATCACTGACGCTTGGAGTCGGCAGTTCTTCTGTGGAGGGAGGAAGGAACCTTGCCTCGTTTGTGTAGACTGATTGGAAAAACCGTGAAAAAAACGCAGCTTTATCCCTACTATCAGCGATCTCAACGCCATCAGTAGTCTTTATCAAGGGGATTTGATGCCTGTTCCTTGTACTTCGTCGGAGGTAGCTGTAGAGCAATTTTGGGTTCTGTGTTGCTTTTTGTAGCAAGTTCTTCTCCAATTCCCGCCGCGTATTCATTATCAGCTTCCTCAGTTTGTTCCTGTGTGTCTTGTAGGTATTGAAGCATTCAGTTTGTCTAGTGACGCAGTATTTTCTCACCAATTTGTGCTTCCTGTTGATTTCTTTCTTAAAGTTGCTATTTAGCCACCCAAGGCGTTTGTTCAGTCTTACACTAGTCGGTGGGCAGTGGTTGTTGATGAGCTGCAGAGGGGCATTCTTGAACAGCTCCCGGTCATCTTTGGCTGTTCCCGTAAACAATGAGCCGCAGTCAAGACCCCATAAGTCTGCCCTCATCTGATTGAAGTCGCCCCGCCAAACATCACGTCTTTTGTGGTCTGGAGTATGTGAAATGGAGAATAACGAATAATTCACATAGGCACTACGTGGTCACTTCTGTCAAGGGGCGGCATGGAGGTGAGCTCGTCTATGCTGTTTGGTGTTTTCGTAAAGACCAGATCCAGGCAGTTTGCCCTTTGTCCTTCACGTGTTCTCTTTGGGAACATTACATGTTGTGTGAGGCACGCATTTAATGTTTTGCTCAACAGGCGGTAATCGAATGCGGATTTTGGACCTGACGCTTGGAGGGTATTCCAGTTTGTTCCTGGTGCGTTGAAGTCGCCCATGATCATGATGTTAGGTCGACTGGAAAATTTCTCCAACTGCTCCAATAGTTGAGTGTCGGCGATTCGGTCTGTCCTAGGTGGTCGGTAGACAGTGAGGACATCGAGACACGGGGAACCGGTAGCCTTGATGGTCAACCAGATAGCTTCGGTACTGCACGCAAACTTGGTGGTGTTATCCGACACTTTCAGACCTTCATTCACATACACAACGATACCACCACCCTGACGATGTTCCCTGTCCCTCCGATAAATTTGGTATCCAGGCAAGGCTACTTCGTTATCGCTAATATTCCCGGACAGCCAGGTCTCAGTTACTGCTAAAACATCTGGAGACAGCTCAAAAAGGCAAAGTTTTAGTTCGTCTAGTTTCGATATGAGGCTTTGGGCATTCTTGTACAAGCACCTCAGTTTAGCACCAGCCGAATTTCACGTTGCATTTGTTACTGCTGCGAGCATTACTCCGTTATCGCGGACGTCGTGTTCTCTAGGCTCTTCTGTTACCTGATTGTTTCCATTTATATGCCTGGTTTCAGTCAGATCACTGAACGCTACGGGCTCACTTGTGTTGGCGCCTTGATCAGGTGGTTCAACAAAGGTGTCTGTCTTAGCTGAGTAGCTGTCGTCGTTCGTAGTATTACAGGCTGGTTCCACTGAATCGGCATATATTTCCGAACTACCTTTCCCTTGAAGATAGCCAGATTGTGTTCGCCACCCTTCAGTCTTCATTTTAACTTCAAGACAAGTTCGCGGCTTTTCAACCTTTCCGCTGGTGAATAGTCCGGTTGAAAAAGAAACTGGGTAAGGGACTTTCTGGCCGGCCGTTCACAGTCTGTGTGTATTGGAGTACGGAGTCAACGCCAGTGCCAGCTGTGAGCGGAGTTCCCGAGGGCTCTTTGCTCTAACCAGTACTGTTTTAATTTATGTCAACGACTGTTTGAATGGACTGGACTGCAATGAAGCCATATCTGCCGATGACACCAAGTTATCACGAGCGATCAACGGGGAAAATGATGAACGGACCCTGCAAGAAGGACTGAACCGCCTATGCGAATGGTCCGACAAATGCCTACTTGACTACCAGGCTCACGTAATTCCGAGGTTAATTACGTGGGCCTGGCAGTCGTCAGGTGAATTCCAGATGTATTACTTAAGAAATCTTGCTTAGCCAGTCAACTAACTGTATCAGATTTGGTGTATTCCAGATGTTGCAGTAGGTTGGGCGGGTAATCACGACCCAAATGTGATTAAATGTTCGTCGTCCGATGAGGCCTCGTAGCTCAGACGGTTAGAGCGTTGGCTGTACTAAAGCCTCTCTTTGCTGTCATGGGCTCGAATTCCACCCAGACACCGAGTTTTTCACAGTTGGTTAGAACTGAAAGCCACTTAAGTCCCTCTTTTCCTGAAAACAACGCAATTCCCCACATCTGGCTTCGCCTTATTCTATTGGACGCAATGTCAATTTTCCTTTTCAGAAAACACTTAAAACTTTTCTTGCACATATAAGTGCTCGCTTATAGCATAATGTGCACACAAGGGAGTTTTTGCCAATGAATTTCGGTAGCGTAGGAAATGGCCTGAGTGTCAAGAAAGATCTGATTTCGTCCAAATCCGGCCTGCTTTTTCAGAAAAAAGATCTGAAAGGGCTTCTTTTCTAGTAAATAACTTTCTGCGCTTCGAATCAATATGACACATTTAAATGACAATACCAGAGGCATTACTCACACAAAATGCAATCTCATTTCACGATTTGGGCCACCTACTTTACGTTTTTAATGGTGGAGCATCGAACCATAGGGCGCCTTAAAAATTTACGGGTCTAGGTAGTCTCTCAGGTCCATAACACATATAGAACATTTATGGGGTGGATGATAATTCGAGCACACATGTTAATCCCCGTTAGGCAATCTCAAGGAAACCAAAAAGGAGTTGTTCCAAGCAATACCGACCCGTCGATTTTAAAGAAGGATATGTGCATTGAGATCATCAGTGTATATAAAGGACTGGGCGTACCAAACTGCGATGAATTAACATTAAAGCGAGGCAAAACAAAACAGGACCCAACATGGTTTAGTACCTGTGCTAACTCATGAAATGTCATGAATTAACACAGGTAAACGACTTAACGCAGAATCGGTATATACTACGGCTCCCAAAGTCTGACAGCGGAAAATAAAAGATGTGTCAAAGAAATAAAGCAAAGTTTGATTTAGAAAATATTATTTACTGAGAAAAAATAAATAATTTTCGACAGAAGTCACATTTTCGAGAAACGCCTATATTACAACCAAGTTGATAAAGGCTACGTATGAGAGCGTATAAAGGAGGAGGGCGCATAAAAGGGCAAAAATAATTAAGGACAAAAAGAGATACAAAAAATCAGTACTTTGTTGATTGCCCATTTGAATTAATAACGGCAGAAAGTCTGTCATACCTAGACATGACGAGGTTATCTATGGTATATTGAAGGGCACCACTTATAATAAGGTCTTCATGTGAAAACGGCAGCACAATTACGGCCGTTTGT